TACTCACCAAAAATGTTGAGCAAGGCTGTTGATCACAACTTAATTGCTGGCCTTTGCCCTGAGGTTTTCCCTGGTGGGATCATCTGTCTTCAATATGCAAATGACACAATCCTCTTTCTAGATAATGACTTAAATCATGCTAGCAACTTTAAAATTGTTTTGACTTGCATTGATCAAGTTTCATGCATGAGAATTAACTACTCCAAAAGTGAGCTCATTCCCATCAATATGGATGACCAAGAACTGGTTGGCTTTCTAAACATTTTAGTTTGCAGTAGTGGTAGCTTTCCCATTAAATATTTAGGCATCCTTCTCCATTATGATACACTTAGGAGAGAAGACATCCAGCCCCTTTTAGACAAAATCATTAAGAGGATTGCGGGATGGAGAGGAAAACTCCTGTCTTACAGAGGTAGGTTGATCCTCATTCAAGCCTACCTTGCTAGCATTCCTGTGTACCTCCTTTCCTTCTTCAAATTCCCTAAATGGGTTGTTAGTCTCATCAACTCACAGATGTCCCATTGCCTGTGGAATGATTTTGAAGGACATAGAAAGATTCACCTAGCTAACTTGGGGCTGGTCTCCATGAAAAAGGAGTTTGGAGGTTTGGGCATTCCCAATCTCCAAGAAATTAACATTTGTTTGTTAGGATCCAGGATCAAAAGATACTATGAGACAGACCAAAAACCCTGGAAGATGCTTATTGAGCACAAATACTTGGCCAATAAGCCTAACATCTTTGCCTCCTCCTCCAACCAGAAAATCTCTAGATTCTGGAAAGGGTTGAAGTCTATTATCCATGATGTGAAATTTGGTTACAGATGGAGCATTGGGGATGGGGCAAAACCAGGTTCTGGGAAGATACCCGGTTTGGCACTTCCCCTCTAGTTGTCCAATTTTGGCCTATCTATTCGATCTGCAATGAACAAAATAAATGTGTAAATGAGATCTGGGATGGGCAATGCCTCAAACTCTCTTTCACAAGGAACTTTAGTGACAAACTTATGGAACAATGGTTTCAGCTGGAGGAAATTGCTAGGAGTATTGTCTTTTTTGATGAGATAGATTCTCCGATCTGGCAATTAGAAAACAGGGGGCAATACTCCTCTAGCTCCCTCTAGCATATTATTAATTTTAGGGGGTTCAGCCTATTTTCATCCCAGCAGTCTGGAAGTTGAGAGTTCCCCCCAAAATTCATGTCTTTCTCTGGCTCCTCTCTAACAACAAGCTGATGACCAGGGATAATCTTAGAAAAAGACACATCATCAAACCCCTTGAATGTGTCTACTGTTTGGAGCAAGAATCTTGATCCCACCTTTTCTTTGATTGCATTGTTGCCAAGCACCTTTGGGTCCCTGTTGATTACTTCAACACTCAGATTGGCTCTTCCTTTGAATATGTTGCTAGATTCTGGATTGCTAACAAGCAGTGCTATGTTTTGAATACTGTTAGCTCAACAGTCCTGTGGTGTGTCTGGAAATATAGAAATGCTATGATTTTGATAACACCACCTGGATTTCTGTTCCTCAGGTCTTGAGATTGATCTTGAGCACAGTGAGGAACTGGATGATCCTCTCCTTGGGATCAGACAAAGTAAAGCTAATGACCTTTGTGGGGTTCCTCGCAATGTACCTTCAGAGACCTTTGGAGATCACAAGTGGCTGAGCAAACCATGCTCTTCTCTGGGGCTGGATCCCTGGTAAAAGCTGAAGATCTCAAAAGACGGTGAAGGGCTCCTTTCGCCAAAGAAGAGAGATATCCACAATGTTGTCCCATCTAGCCCGGTGTCTACTCTTATCGCTTGCTGGTCACCGCAGGCGGACGCTGCTCCACGTCCGAAGACCATGAAGGCAACGCTGGATCCTCCCTGTGTCCGTTGAAAAGCTCTTCTCCTTAGCTCTTTAGTGAGACTTGGCCCTGCTGGTGGCCCTTGTAATAATGCTACTTACTAGCTAGCTCGTTTTCTGCTTTTTATTTTGAACTGCTCTTTTTGTGCTTCTGTAACAGACTTGGTTGGTTGTGTGGTTTCATTCTGAGCAATAGAACCGGGGAGGTGCTCCCTGTTCTTCTAAAAAAAGAAAATAAATTACAACAAAGTCCGTAGAATTTTCTTCGAGTGCCATCCACATTGCACATCATCACCAGAACAAGAGGACAATCATCGGTGGATGTTGTTGTGGTGTGTTAACCCGGGATTATCCCCATACCTTTCGAGTCTAGATCCGTTGATTGTCGTCGACAAAGTCGGAGCAAAACGCCTGATCTACCGCCTTCAGGACACATCCCTTGATATTGAAAAGCTAGCATCCCCGCATGCGCTTTCATTGCTAGATAGATCGACACTGCCGATTGATTCACTTGTGTAAAATCCTCACGAGCTCTTGAGTTGTGCTAGAGGAAACACCCCTGACAGAGGTAGTCTCGGAGGATAGAATCCATTGGTTGGATCCCCGTTGCCGCCTCGCCGACCCAAAACACTGATCCCACTAGTCGTACTGGCCGCAAGGCGATGATAGACATGTCCTCATTTTAGGAGGCGATGTCCCAGCCTCGTTTATTTATGCGGTTTGTGAGACCATGAAACTTGGTAATAAGAACACATCTATAGTGGGGTGTCTATATTGCCAGACACCACATGAAGTGACCATGTTGTTGTCTTGATGTCACGCTTCCATCACGACTATGGCACGAGTGGCCGCAAAAGCAAATCAAATGACTCATAGGGTGTTGCGCTAGGGGATTCCATGGAGACCGTTCGTGAAGATTTTTGATAAATAACGAATGTGTCAATTGATGCAGAGGCATTTGGTTTACCCTCACTTTTTTGTGCCATTCTTGCTACCAATCGTGTTTGGACTCTTTCGCTATAGTCGGTGCTCGTGCTAGGTGGCACTTTTTCTTCTTTCTTTGAAAAAATGAATGTGAAACTTGTTTCTCCATTATCTCTGGATAGCGGATGGCGATTTTTATTGCGTAAAAAATACACATATAAAAGAGAGGTTCAAATGGTACATACATAAAAGAAACAAAAATAAATATGAACAATCATACTATCTCAAAACTGAAGGCTGCATCAAGGTTAGTTGAAGACAATGTCTTTAATCTTTCACATATCGAGGTCGTTGCTCTATGGTCGCAATAAAGAGACAATATAAAACCAAACTAGCATGACTGGAGCTAACATCTGTCATATCAAAAAATCACATTAGCTACCCACACAAATGGCCATGATCCTAATATCGTTGAATACACCATGCATGACGGGGTAGGGGCCGGCAGGGGATGCCTCTTGCAAGAAGGATTGTTGAATTGATGCCTGGTCATCAAACATGAAAGACAACAAGAACCAAGGCAAACTTGGCATAACCAATGCATAGTCATTACTCAGGCAGTCCAAGACACACACCACCATTTGCTACACTAGGCACATCAAATCCATTATAGAAACACACAAGTAAGGTCCACATACATGCACTTTTTGTGTAGTATAATAGGGGTGCCACACATCAATATGTTGGTACAAAATTTGTGAAACTTATGGTGTAGTATAATTTGGCTTAAACATCATTGTAAATCCAACAGGTAGTCCAAACATATCATTGAGTTACTACAGACATAAGGTTAAGTATACACTCTCAAAATCTTCTTTTCCTCCTTAATTCCGCATTAGTTGAGAAGAAATTATGCAACTCCTGTAGACTCCTTCTGTTGGTTACAAGAAACCAAAGCACCAAGAACCAATGAGAGATAGGATGGTTGCATCATGTCTTCACTGATGTTGTTTTGCATGATCGAACTTGTTGGGTTGGAACATTTAAGGTCCAGCTTATCCGATTTTGAAGTTGACTAGCAAGATGCTCGTGCATTGCACGGAACATCAAGATACATTTTTTTTACAAAACGCCTGTTGTGATTGATCCATGCAGGAGTAATCCCTTGTGTAAAAACTAATGATATCTCGAGAATTTTATCGAAAAAATGGCATCTCGAGAATTTCATCAAAAAAAAATATATCTCGAGAAAGATGAGAGATAAGGTGAGGAGGAGTGGGGCGTGGTGGTGACTGGTGGTCGGACTGGGCGGAGGCATGGGGATGGACGGCGCCGGCAGCGGCCACCATGCCAGATTGTTCCAGAGATTTCCTTATTTAACTGCTCAGCAATGAGGTTGTGGGAGATAAGGATGAACGAGGCAAGGCCTTATCTGTAAATGTGAAGAGATGTGCGGGTATCTTTTGTAAAATTGTCATAGTTTGCTTTCTGTCCGTCAGATATAGATCGAACGGTTCATATTACAAGATGGCAGGCACACATCATCACCAATTCTGTTTTTTATAAGAGTAGAGACAAACGGTGAAACCCGCATCTCCCAATGAATTGAGCGACAAAATAGAGTTTTTTCTCTTTTTAAGTTTAGATTTGTAATTCACAAATACACTTGTTGCCGCAGCGGATTAAACTGGGTAGAAGAGTTCCCTTCCGCGTCACGCCCGGCCGTAGATGCGCTTCAAGCCTTGTGCGATTGTTTTTTTCTTTTGGGTAAAGCCTTGTGCGATTGTGCCCGCGTGTGGGGCCTATTGCCACTTGCCACTGATATGATGTTGTTGTCCCTTTAAGGATCGATTATTTGATTGTTTTTTTGTTTATTTGGTGAGATGACTAGGGTTGCTTTTAGATGAAGAAAGTGGACTAGTCGAGGTCGTCGTCGTCGGTCTAGACGTAGACTAGTGTTGCTAAGAAGTCCAGTTATTTGGTATGCAAAGTATTTTTAATAGGGTGAAGGACAAACCAACGAGGGGGGACACACTTGTACTGCTGAAGTGGAGAGCTTAACGATAAGAACTTTGTTAATCCAACTAGGTGTCTTTCGCATGGGATTCCTCCACTAGGTGACAGCGCGTGACATCATACGCACCGCGTCACCTTCCATCACCGTTGATTCCTTTCCTCCCATAATATCACCTTCCCACGTCTCTGTAATTTTTGCATCAGACACGGTCCATGTCCATCTCGCCGGCCAAGAAGAACCTGCACCCAAAACTGACCGCGATGAACACACGGGAGCTGATCTCCGGAAGTCTTGACAGCGTCAAGCAACAGGCGAAGGCCATGGCATCCACCGTCTCGTCAGCTAGGCCGGCGGACCTCCGCCGAAAGCTGGCGGAGATGAACACGGCCGACCTCGCCGCGGGCCTCGGCCACTTCAAGAACCAGGCGGCGGCAGCGGTTTCCACGCGCGAAGGCGCCGTGAAAGCCGCGGCGATGGTCCTCGGGGGCGCCGTGAGCATCTACTTCCTCTGGCCCGCGGCCGCCGCCCCCGCCACCACCGGCGCCATGATGAACGCGCCGGGCGCCGCCGGCTTCGTCATATCCCGCGTGGCGTTCCTGGCCAAGAGGCAGCTCTACTTCCACGTCCTGCGCACTGCCGGCCCTGTCGCCGCAGTCGCGGTTCTCGTGTAGGGATGGAAGTGACGCACGGAGGCATGGACGCGAGCTAGCTACGGTGTGTTTTCTTCAAGTGTGTGTGCGATGTACTGTCTAGTGGTACTAGCATTTCGGCGTGCGGACATGCATGGAGGATTTGTCAGCTATCCAATGCAACGTGTACAATAAGCTCTGCGCCTCTGCCTAGCTAGTGCTCGTATTTGCCCTTGTTCTCCAGTGTATTGTTCTACATGAAGCAACTGTTTGTCTACGTACTACTTTTGCCGGAAAAATATACTACTCCATCCGTGTTCCTAAATATTTGTCATTCGAGAGATTTCAACAGATAACTACGTACGAAGCAAAATGAGTGAATATACACTCTAAAATATGTTTATATACATCCGTATGTGATAGTCAATTTGAAATCTCTAAAAAGATAAATATTTAAGAACGGAGGGAGTATATATATACGACCAACTGTTTTAAAATATATGCGACCGTCTATAGTTTTTGTAGTCAGATTAGTAAATCAAAATGTCCATGAGAATACAAAGATTTAAAGGGGGTAGCCAGCGAGAGATGGCGCCCCTCTTCAAGACTAGTTGCCATCTGCGCTAAGGGCAACTCTAACTGATTTCATAAAAATAAAGAAGGTTCCGGCGGAGTAAATCTTTGGTAGCGTATTTTTACTTCACTAAGTTTTGGTGGACCTAGTTGATCCCCTAAACGTAACGGAATAAAGTTATATATGGCTCATACATTTCGTCGAACACTTGTTGTGCGCCTCCGTGGCCAGTGGCGATCATGGTGACCACGCGACGCAAGCACTAATCGAGGCTTACGCTGACGGCAGCGAGCAGCGGCAGCAGCAACATCATGAAAGATCGGTTAGAGTTGGCCTTATCGCGTCCAGTGGCAGAGTGGGCGTTCCACTCCACTCTCCTCCGGCCATGGCGCCCGCCGCAACCACACCTCCAACTCAACCACCACCTCCATGTGCGCCTGACCCCCTTCCCCTCGGACCCGATGGCTCTCATGATCGTCTCCTCCACACTACCCTTCCCCTTCCCTTCCACGTGCCACCGCCGGGGCCACAGGAGCGTCCTCCGCCACCACCAGCGACGACTTCGACTACCCCGAGTCGACTCCTCCATCCGCTGGCCCCACCTCCGCTTCCCGCACCTTCCGCGCCCCGATTCCCCTCGGCACGCCCGTCGCGGAGGTGCTCGACGACGCCTGGGTGTCCCCCAACGAGCTCGCCTACGTCGTGTGCGCCGTGTGAGC